TTCACTTCAACTTCTTATTGGTGTTCCAGCTATCCTTTAAGCTCTGAAATTTCACAGGGATCCTTCCATTAGCTTTTGGCTAAGTAATCCTTAAACCTTCCTTTAAAACCTCACAACTGTGGACTTTTTAAGCTAAAACTTGAGCTTCATTGCATTTGTGCTTAATGTTTCCATCCGAAAAATACTCTGGTTTCTGTCAGCATCTTTCCTTCTAGTTCACAGTTGCTTTTCATCTTCTAAAAGACTTTCTTTCTCTGCTTGTTGAACTCAGGGCTTACACCCACCAATTTGGAAGTTTTTAGCTCCAACCCTGAAAACATTCTGTAAACAACTTCTCAGAATTCTAACCAAGGCTATACCTGGAATTACTCATCCCCATGGCAACAGAAGTTTGTTAAATATCTGACAAATTCTTTGGTTAATTAACTTCTGCCTTCAAGATAAATACTTTGACCTAAAGTTTTCACAAATAATTTAAATTTTGAATTAAGTCAGAGCAATATTCCTCAAACTTACTTTCACCTTCCTAGCTCTGATTCCAGAAGTAGACATGGAACCCTTTGAACTGTCATTATTTGAGATAGCCTGGAAACATGGAAAATCCAGAATTTTAATTACCTTAACCCTTAGTCATCCTGTAAAGCTAAAACTACCTCAAAAAAATTAATCTGAACGAACCTCGAACTGAATGTTTATGACATTTGCTCCTGACAGAAAAATATGCTTAAACTGGAGAGGGTGCAGAGTAAATTCACCAGAATGTTGTCTGGAATGTGAAGTCTCAGTTAGGAGGAGAGACTGGATAGGCTGGGTTTGTACTCCCCTGGAGCAGAGAAGGCTGACGGACGATTTGATTGACGTATATAAAATTATGAAAGACATAGACAGGGTAGATCATAAGAATCTTTTCCCCACAGTAGATGTGACGAAGACCAGAGGGTGTAAGTTTAAGGTGAGGGGGAAGTTGTTTAAAGAGGATCTAAGCAAAAACTTGCTTCAGTGTAGTCCGGTACAATTAATAGCTTTGTACAACTGATTCACTTTGAAACTGAAACAATTGATTCAATTTAAATGCAGATATTACAAAAAATAATGCAAGTTAAATCCATTAATTATTACTCATTGCTCACATAACAGTACTATTAATGAAGTCATAAAAAGGAAAAATGTTATGTTATATATTACACATGAAACATCTCAAACTACAGTGTCACACACCTTGACCTACCCATTTAATAAAATAAAATTTAAACAAGGCTCATGATGTTGCATTTTGGGGATCTTGTCATATTCAAATTGGCTGCAGCATTTCCTGCATTACAACAGTGACCACAAAAGAAGTTAATTTCCTGTAAAACACTGAGATATCTTGCGAATGTGAAAGACATTATATAACTGCAAGTCTTGCTTTGCCCTTATCCCAAAAGGTACAGAGGTCCTTCAGTTTTGGTTTGGTGTAAGGCTGATATGGAGGGTGCCGAGATAGTTTTGGAGAAAGAGAAAGAATTGGAGAGAAATAGTTATCTCAGACCCCTGGTGTTTAGTATAGATGTACTTGGCAACCAAAACAGCATATGACAAATGCAACTTATTTTATTAAATGACTAATTTATCAATTGAAAAAGACAGGGTCATCAGAACATCAACACTTATGCACTGATGATCAAATAGATAGTCTCACACAAAAGAAGCTGCTTTTCAAATGCAATCATTATTATAAAAAAAGGGAAATTAATGTCAACCAACATGAGAACAATGTGTCAATTAGCCTCTTTCTACGCATCATATTTCTATTATTCTATATTTGTTTAAACAGAACTACTTGGTATAAGAACAGATTCACAGCAATTTCAACTTTTACCAGAAGATCCCCCTTGGCATTACTCGTGAAAGAATGAAGGATGCATTACTTAAATATGAAAGAAACATTGTACTAAATAGCTCTCAATAGATTATGAAAATGGTTGAAAATTTACATTTCATAAAAAAGAATAATAGGACTTCTTCGAGGAAAGCTTTCTGTTGCAAACTTGCAATCATAATTATTTTGGACTGTCCTTTTAAGTATAGCACATAAAGACCAACTAGACTACATCAGAGACCTGAGCCTCCGTCTGCTCAATATGCCATGCAGGCAAGAGTTGGTACAATCTGAGGTTAATAACAGCCTAAATATTTTTACTGAAGGCAGTTTCTCCTCAAATTGGCAACTACACATCAGTATCTGAGAACCCATGTTTAGGGGAAAGGTCAGAAAAAAAAAAACAACAGGAAGTGAATAGCATTTTCTTGCTGAGTTTTAATTTCACTGTTTTAGAAGTATTGTATTTGCAACAGTTGTTGGTGTGTGATACAATTTGCAATGACTATAGTTTAAAATATGACAAGTACAATACTTTTGGGTGTGACACATTGACTGTAAGTGGAACTTCTTTTGCATGGATAAAGATACCTGGAGTTACACTACAAAAAATACACAGGCTCTTTTTAATTGTTTAAGAAGGCAAGAGTTGATAAATGTAGGATTTCATATACATACATGATAATGGGAGAATTAATCAGGACACACAACATTTCCTTCTCAACAACTTAGACAAGCTATAACCAAAACAGTGCACAATATATCTGGACAATTTTTAAAAAAATTAGCTTTGCACTCCCTTCCTCAATTAACTGATGGATGAATGTCATTACCTAACTTGCCTGCTGCATTTTGGGCCTGGAGAGAAAAAAAATCCAGTATTAAGTTCAGGTCATGGAAAGCTGGTTTGAAAATATGGCAAACACCCACAAGCTGTTTGCCAAGCTGCTACAAAGTCTTGAACTACTTGCGAGCATGCTCGTGATAAAACCACCAGTATGTTGTTAGGAAAACCCTGTAGGAAGTGGAGTGGACACCCACCCATTTCTGCTGGAACACGTAGATTTTAAATCAATTCTATCTACAGTGCAGTCTTGATCTTAGCGAACAGTAAAAAATGAAACTAACTTTTAACAAGAGCAAATTTTTGAGTATCCAATTGATGGGAAATATTTGAAAGTGAAAACATGGAACAAGACAATTCAAATTTCTTCAACAGAGAAGGAATAGCCCGTTCAACCCGTCGAACTTGCAATGCCATTCAATTAATCCATGGCTAATCATCTACCTCAGTGCAGGAAAACGATGTTCTCTCCACATTCTTTAGTGTCATTCGTCTCCAGAAATCTACTGATTTCTGTCTTCATTGTGTACAATAATGAGCTTCAAAAGTACGCTGAAGGACAGAATTCCAGTGATTCATTACCCACTACAGTGAAAAAAATTCCTTCTTATCTCAATGTTTGATGGTCTCCCCCTCATTCTGAGATTACATTCCCTGGTTCTGAACTCACCGGGCCAGGGGAAAGAGCTGAACTTAATGCCCCTTGGCAAGAATTCTGTAAATTTCAATGAGAATATCTCTTAATTGCTTGAAACACTACAGAAGTTACGTTCCGTTTCCTCACTTTATCCTCAAAGTGATCACACCATTCTACAGATTAGTCTTGTGAACTTCCATTACACTCCCTCTGTGGCAACTATCTCGTTACTTAGATAAGGAGACAAAAACTGTACACACTATTCCAGGAACACAGTTTCACCAAGGTTCTGTACAATTGCAACAAGACGTCTTTACTTCTGCACTTAGGTATGTTTGTGGTGAAGGTCCAATTGTCTTCCTTATTGACTGTCGCATCTGCATGCTAGCTTTTACTGGCTCATGAACTCGGACACCCAAGCAGACACCAACGTGTCTCAATTTCTCACCATTTAAGGAATATTCTGATTCTCGAATTGCTTTTTCCTACCCAACTGAGTAACTTTACATTTTTTCCGCGTTATAATACATCTACCAAATTCTTGGCCATTTACTTAGCTTGCATAAATGCACTTGAAGTCTTCCTGCATCATCCTTACAATTTGCATCCCAACTAGTTTTGTGTCATCAACAAATTTTTAAGTATTAGACATTGTCCCTTGTATTTTAATCATTTATGTGGACTGCAAATAGCTGTGGATCTAGAAGCAATCTTTGTGGCATCCCCCTAGTAATAGTCTGTTATCCTGAGAATGACCTGTTTATTCCCACATTCTGCTTTCTGTCTATTAACCAATTTTCAATCCATACTACTATATTACCCCAAATCCTATTCTATCTAATTTTATTTACTATGGGGTGTTATCAAAAACCTTCTGGAAGTCCAAATACACCACTTCCACAGACTTTCCTTTATTTAACATCTAAAAAGTAGCATCCTTAAGAAACTCCCACAGGCTTTCAATCTTGATTGCCCTTCCACAAATCCATGTTAACACTGCCCAATTTTAGCATTCTTTTTGTAAATATTCAGCTATTTCATCTCCTATATTACATTCTAACATCTTCCCCCTATTGACATCAAACTAGCATGAGAATATGTCTATAGTTTAACGTTCTCCCTCTTCCTCTACTTGATTGTTGGAAAAACCCATCTGGTGTACTAATGTCCTTTTGGGAAGGAAACTGCCTTCCTAACCTGGTCCGGCCTATCCAGATCCACAGTAATGTGGTTGACAGTTAAATGCCCTTTGGATAATTAGGGATGGGCAATAAATGCTGGCCTCACCACTGATGCCCACATCCCACAAAAGAATTTTTAAAAACCTTTTTAAACAGCATAGTTCCATTTGCTACTTTTCAATCTGCAGGAACATTTTTGCAATCTGTAGAGTTTTGAAAGATAGCTATCAATGCATCTGATCCTCAGGATTTACCAACATTTACTCCAGTTAACTTCTCAAGAACTCTATTTTTCCTAATTTCTTTCAAGTACCTTGGCTGCTGAGTGGAGAAAAATCCATGAAAAATGCCATTTTTTGATTAAACATCTATATATTTACATGTTATTCTAAAAAAGCAGGTGATTTCTTAAGGTAGTTTCTCATCCCCAATTTTCTCCTAGCAATTTGTTTATTAGACAAAACTGCAATACCCTACCTCTTGCTTTGTTTCCTCATCTTCCTCATCATTTCCTGCTTCTTCTTCTTCCTCCTCTTCATCACTGCTGGAGGATTCTAAGATGACATTCATATCAACCTTCCAGCTCTCAGGAACAATCCTTTGTTGGTAGAATTTGTGAGCTTCTTCAAGTGCTACAGAAAACCGGTATTTGAAAGTTAGTTGTTAATTTGGTTGATATCTGATTAACAGAATTATAGCACTTTACAGAAAGAGCCATTTGGACTATGATGTCTATTTCAGTTCTTTAAAATAGCTATCCAATTAGTCCCATTGCCACTCTTTGCCGATTGCGCCACATATTCTTACTTTTTAATGTATCTGTAAATTTCCCTTTGAAAAAGGCTATTGAAATCTACTGTCTTACTGGGCAGTGATTTTGTATCATCATCATGTACAAAATATTTTCATCTCCAAGCTGGTTCTTCTGCCAATTTTCTTAAATCTGCATCCTTTCCTTACCAAGCTATCTTGTCAACAGAAACGGTATGACCTCATTGACTTCATAAAAACCCTTCCTTGCAAGTTCAGTTTCACTTCTCAATTGATAATGGACAGATTATGGATAGAAGTAAGGGATCTTGGGATAGATCCCTGAAAGTGGCAGGACAGGTTATTAGGGTGGTTAAAAATGCATACAGGACACTTGCCTTTATCAGTCATGGCACAGATTATGAGATTATATGGATATGTTGGAGCTGTACAAAACTTTGATTAGGCCACAGCTGAAGTACAGTGCACAGTTCTGGTCGCACACTATAGGATAGTTGACATTACAGTTGAGGAGGTACAGAGGAGATTCACCAGGGTTTCACTTGGATTGGAGCACTTTACGACAAAGAGGCTGGAAAAACTGAGATTATTTATTTTAGAGGATAGACGCTGAGGGGTGGGGGGAACCTGATTGAGGTGGATAAGATTACGAGGGACATGGACAGGGTGGACAGGAAGCAGTTATTCCCCTTAGTCGAACGGTCAATAACAAGGAGACATAATTTTGGAGAAGGACAGGAGAGTAGTTTAGAAGGAATTTGAGGAAAACCAAAGTGTGGTGGGAATCTGGAATGCAATGCCTGAAAGGTTAGTTGAGGTGGCAAACCTCGCTAGCGTTAAAAAGTACATGGATGAGGACCTGAAATGACAAAACATTCATGGCTATGGGCCAAATGTTGAAACATGGGGTTGGTGTACATAAGTTGGCGCAGACACAATGGACCAAAATGGACAGCCTCTTCAGCGCTGTATCACTAGGAGGTACATTGTACATTGTACCATGCTCCCAGAATTTAGAATGTGGAAGCACCATGGATCCACTAGAACATATATCAAGTTCGGCAGGAACATAGCTTTTTGATAGCGAACAATTGTAAAAATAAAGACAAGATTACTAAGTTAACACGGTTTCTTGAAATATACGAAGGTTTGGCTGTTAACTGGAATTCAACAAGGAAACCAATAAATCCAATTTTCTTTGGCTGTTATCTTAAATTTTTTGAATAAAATAAACATAATGTATAATAAGGGTTATATTCATATTTATGAATATTAATTTATGTCGCACTACTTGCAATGTACAGCACTGAAACCAATCATTTGGCAAAACTCTTCATCTAACCACCAACAAATTTCTATCTTGTTCCTCTTGCAGTTATCAAGCATCTCCCTAAGTGTATTTAAAAAGATTGGCCTGAACTACTCCTAACAAGTTCCACATTCTGATTACTCTTTGGGTAAAGAATTTTCTTCAATTTACCAAGTGAATTTAATAGTATTCAACTCATGGTCCCTTGGACCTAACACATGGAAATATTTCTTGTGTAGGTCATTAAATTATCAAACATTTTCATACATTTAAAGACAAAGAATAATACAGCACAGGAATAGGCCCTTTGACGCACCAAGCCTGCACCAATTCCTAATCCTTATTTAGACCTGCTACTCATTGCCCATTTGTGGTCTCTATTCCTCTGTTCACCTCCCCCCCTGCCCCCTGTTCATGTGTCTTTCAAGATATGCCGTAAACGTTGCTAACGTGCCTGTTTCCACTACCTCCACTGGCAGTCCATTCCAGATGCCCACCACCCTGTGTGTGAAAAAGTTTCCTTGCACTGCTCCCCTAAACTAATCCCCTCTCACCTTGAACCTGCGCCCTCTTGTTGTTGACCTTTCCACCATGGGAAAAAGCCTCAAACTATCCAGCTTACCTATGCCTCTCATAATTTTATAGACCTCTATCAGGTCGCATCTCAGCCTGTCTTTCCAGTGAAAACAATCCGAGTTTATCCAACATCTCCTCATAACCAAAACTCTCCAGACCAGGCAATATTCTGGTAAACCTTCTTTGCACCCTCTCCAAAGCATCCATTTCCTTCTGGTAGTGTGGTGACCAGAAATGCATGCAATATTCCAAATATGACCTAACTAATATTTTATACAGCTGTATCATAACTTGCCAATTTTTATATTTGACGCACTAGCTGATGAAGCTACGTATGCCTTATGCCTTCTTGACCACGAATCCACCTGCATTGGCACTGCTACTGTGGACCTGTATGCTCAGATCCCTCTGTACATCAATGCTGTTAAGGGTTCTGCCATTTATTGTATAATTCACACCTGAATGTGATCTTCCAAAATACATCATCTCACATTTGTCCAGATTTAACTCCATCTGCCATTTTTCTGCCCAAATCTGCAATCTATTTAAATTCCACTGTATCATTTGACAATCCTCCTCACTATCTGCAACCCCAACAATATTGGTGTCATCTGCAAACTTACAAATCAGACCACCTACATTTTCCTCCAGATCATTTAGAAACAATTAAGGTCCCAGCACTTGTCCCAGCAGAACTCCACTAGTTACTGATCTCCATTCTGAAAAGCACCCTTCCACTGCTCCTCTCTATCTTCTACAACCAAGCCAGTTTTGTATCATCTAATCAGCACACCTCGGATCCCGTAAGACTCTACCTTTTGTACCAGCTTGCCAAGAGATACCTTGTCAAATGGATTACTGAAGTCCATGCAGGTAACATCCACTGCTCTTCCCTCATCAATTATCCTTGTCACTTCCTCAAAAATTTCAATTAAGTTGGTGAGACACGACCTTCCTTGCACAAACTCATACTGCCTATCACTAATAAATCTATTCACTTCCAAACATGAATAAATCCTGTCTCTCAGTATCTTTTCCAACAGCTTCCCCACCACTGACGTCAGGCTCATTGGTTTGTAATTACTTGGATTATCTCTGTTTCCCTTTTCAAACAAAGGAACAACATCGACCATTCTCCAGTCCTCTGGAACCTCGCCTGAGGCCAAAGCGGATCCAAAAATATCTGTTAGGGCCCTAGCTATTTCCTCCCTTGACTCCTATAGCATCCTGAGATAGATCCCACCTGGTCCTGGGGACTTGCCTATATTAATGTATTTTAACATACTCAACACTTCCTCCTTCATTACGTTGACCTGCCTGAGAATATTCACACGCCTTTCCCTAACCTCAACATTCCTCATGTCCCTTTCTTTGATGAATACTGATCTAAAGTAATTATTAAGAATTTCACCCATTTCCTCGGGCCCCATACATAACCTCCCTCCTTTATCCTTCAGTTGGCTTACTCTTTCCCTAGCTACCCTCTTGCTCCAATATATGTATAAAATGCCTTACGGCTGTCCTTTACCCTGCTGGCCAAGAATATTTCATGGCCCCTTTTAGCTCTCCTAACTCCCCATTTGAGCTTGTTCCTACTTTCTCCATATTCTTCAAAGACTTTGCCTGTTTTAGTTACCAAGACCTTAGGTATGCTTTTTTTTTGACTAAACTGATAGCCATCCAAAGTTCTCAAATCCTGCCATTCTGGTCACAGGAACATGCCTGTCCTGCACTCTAACAGGTCATCTCTCAAGTCTCTTTTCTCAAGACTGGAGCCTCAGGCATTCTGTTCAACCTTTCCTGATTGGCATAACCTCCAAGAACTGTTATCACCTTTGTAAAAACAAACTTTATCTTCTTCTAAGCCTCTATGTAGTCTATATAAATATAGTCTAATCCACACTCCCTATCAGTTTAGCATAATTTTTTTACTTTTCCACTCTATCCTTCTAGGAAAGAGCATCAGTGCTTTTCTTTTATAAAAACTTCAAAAACCTGAAACTACGTAGCATGTAAGCTTTTTTGGAACAAAATCAAAGTATTAGTGATACTCTGCAGGTCAAGAAGTATTTGGAGAGAGAGAGCTAGAGGGCAGGAGGTGGGGGAAGAGGGGGAGGAGGGGAGAGAGAGAATTTATATTTATATTATCTTTCATGTACGCTGGGAAAAACGTTATAAATGCAACAGGTTTTTAAGCAAAGGGGAGGTGAAGAAAAAACAAAAAGAAAGGTCTGTGGTGGGGTGCAGGTCAAGAGAGACTAAATGCAAAAGAGTTGTGGTGCTGAGTCAAAAGGACAAGAAGCAAAAGGTAAGTCTAATGGGAGATGTGAATGCAAGTATGATGAATCACTGACCTTTTATGTTGTTCATCAACACATCCCACCCAGCCCTCCTTTCTCACTTGCTAAACACTTATATTTCTAAGCTTTCTCAGTTCTGATACATGGCCAGCAACCTCGACTCAAACACTATTTTGGTCTCTTCAGATGCTGCCTGATCCAAATATTCCATATTTACTGATTTTACTTCAAATTTTCACCATCCACAGTATTTTTGTTCTGTATTAGCAAGTATGTTAAAATGCATTATAATGAACGTATTCTAAGGACAGCATTAAACACTGCAGCAGAAAATTTATAGCTGTGTTTGATTACTTCACAACTGCCCGAAATACAGTTGTATCATCAGACACCATAACAGAATGCCTTATTGTGAAATTTTTTTCCCAAAACACAGAACATCAAAGCTGGTAGAAGGAAACTTAGCGTTAGCATCAAGTGTTGAACAGGTTGAAGACAGGTGGAAACGTTTTCATCTATCCAAACTCAAATTTTTCACATTTCACTTGCAACCACTGACTGAAGCTGCTCACTGATGCAACTTGAATTTGACTGTACAGAACCAAGAATGCCCCAACTCATTTAACTTAACACCAGCCGAGTTATCAGCCACCAAAGTTGTGATTTCCACTCCACCTATGTGAATTACATTTCACTCCGAGTCTATGAAATCGAAAACCTGATAATTCTTCGAGCCATACCGTCCCTCCAACATCTCAAACTAAAATCACAAGACAACGCAATAGAAAGGGCACAATAAGCAGCTTTAGAAATGGTAAAAACCAATCCTGCACTAAAATAAAAACCTTGTAAATTCTCACAGCATTCCCCTTATGGAACAGAACCAACCTCCAGCTTATACAGCTCAGCAAACCAGAAGTACATGTTTCACAACTTGGTGCTCAACCTTGCTACTCTCATCTTGACATTTAGATTTGCTGTTAAAACGAGGTCAGGCAAGGACTCTCACAAGTGCCACATTTCAACTATGATGATCACATCTATTAGCACAAGATGCAAGGGGAAATATTTGCAATTCACTTCACCTTAGATGCGAGTTTCCTTACCTTGTTTAACAACTGGGTCTTGCTTTGAAACTCTGTCCCAGTCGAGCTCTCTGATATCTTTTCTTGCTATAGGATAGCTGTTGTTTTACAAAGATAGACACCAAGGTTTAGCTTTAAATAAAGAACACTGCCTTTGTGTCACATAAGATTGATATTCAATTAAATTTCATAGTCTTTGTTTAAATTATTTACAAGGTAATAAAACTCAAATTACTAAATACAGTTATCTCATGTTCAATAAACTGTCCCCATCTAAGTACCATCTGTGTGACTTCAAATCTATTTGTTGAACTTTACGTTTGAAAACAAAGCTCAAACCATAATAAATATGACAAGATAATGTTTAAAGCACCCTGCTCTTCAAATCCTTCTGAACATTGTACCATGCTGAACAGATGGTCACATAATGATTCATGAGGAATGGTCTATTACGTAAGTCGAAACAAGTCAGAATACAATAGTTGATAACGCAATCAAAACCAATAAAATTTGAGAACAGTTTTGTGGAAGCTGCATTTAAAATTGTCATTTTGATCTTGTTAATAGAGTCAGAGTTAGAAACAGATATTTAAATTATCAATGAGAATGAACTGCTTTAATGCTGCTTTAACAATTATGTCACTAAAAATTGTCAAGTTACACATAGATTATTTTAAAGGAATAATATCAAAATGACTGCAGCACTTACACATATATAGAGAAAAATGAAGACAACAAAAGGCTATTTCGGTCATCAAAGTTCATTATCAAACAACAAAGCAGCAATCTATAGAGTTTCTCTGTGGTTCTGCTGAAGATATGCCAGATTCTGGAGACTCCACAAATGTCCCCATCCTCAATAATGGGGGAACCCAACACATGAGGGCAAAAGCTAAGGCTGAAGCATTCACAACAATGTTCTATCAGAAGTGACAGTTGAACAATCCATTTCTGCCTCCCCTGAGATTCCCAGCAATACAGAGGACAGTCTTCGACCAATTTAATTCCACTCCACGTGATATCAAGAAACGGTTCAAGGCACTGGATATTGCAACGGCTGTGGGCCCTGACAACACTCCAGCAGTCGTACTGAAGACTTGTGCCCCAGATCTTGCTGCACCTCTAGCCAAGCTATTCCAGAACAGTAATGACACTGGCATCTACCCAGAAAAATTGCCAAGGTATGTTCTGTACACAAAAAGCAGGACAAATCCAACCCAGTCAATTACCATCCCCTCAGTCTATCTCCATCAGTCAAGTGATGAAAGGTGTCATCAATGGTGCCGTCAAGCAGCATTTGCTTAGCAATAATCTGTTCACTGACATTCAGTTTGGGTTTCACAAGGCCACTCTGCTCATGCCTTGGTCAACGTGGACAAAACAGCTGATTTCCAGGGGTGGGGTGAGAGTGATTGCCTTCGAGATCAAGGCACTCTTGCAAAATTGGAGTCATGGGGAATCAGAGGGAAAACTCTCCACTGGTTAGAACCAACCTGGCACAAAAGAAGTTTGCTGTGGTGCTTGGATGTCAGTCATCTCAGTCCCAGGACATTTCTGCAGCAGTTCCTCAAGGTAGTGCCCTTGGCCCTGCCATCTTCAACTGCTTCATCAACGACCTTCCCTCCATCATAAGGTAAGAAGTCAGGATGTTCACCAATGACTGCACAATGTTCAGCACCATTCTCAACAGACACTGAAGCAGTCCGTGCCTGAATACTACATGATATGGGCAATATCCAGGCTTGCACTGACAGGTGACAACTAATGTTTGTGCAACACACGTCCCTGGCAATGATGTTCATGGAATCCCTGCAGTGTGGAAACAGGCCCTTCAGCCTAACAAGTCCACACTGACACTCAGAGCATCCCATCCTGACCCATCACCCAAATCGACACATCCCTGAATACTACGGGCAATTTAGCATGGCCAATCCACCTAGCCTGCACATCTCTCCAACAAGAAAGAATCTAACCATCATCCGTGGACATGCAATGGCTTCACCAGCATTGAATCCTCCGCGATCAACTTCCTGGCAGCTTACCACTGACCAGAAACTCAACTGGACTAGTCATACAAGTACTCTGGCTACAACAGCAGGTCAGGGGTTAGGAATCTTGCAGCAAGTAACTCATCTCCTGAATCCCCAACGGCTGTCCACAAGGCACAAATCGGGAGTATGTTGGAATACTCCCAACTTGCCTGGATGAGTGCGGTACCAACAAGAAGCTTGACACTATCCAGGACAAAGCAGCCATTTTACTTGGCACTACATCGACAAACATTCACTCCCTCTACCACTGACACACAATAGCAATAGTGTGCACCATCTACCAGTCGCACTGCAGAAATTCACCAAGGCTCCTTAGTAACATTCCCTCTCGGCTGCTCCAAGGTTCTGCGCATGGCAATTGACGTTGGCATGTTGATCAAGGCATTGACTTCCCACTCTGGAAGCTGCTGCTGGGCAAGAACTTTGGAGGCTTATAGAGCCAAAACTGCTGTTTACACGAAAATGCTCTGGTTGGGTTCTTCCAATTTTGTTTTTGAATTCATTTGCAGGATGTGGGTGTTGCTAGCTGGGCCAGCATTCCTTGCACAACCGTTGAACTTGAACCCTTGAATTGCTGCAGTCCATTTAATATAGGTACGCCCACGATGCCGTTCGGGAGGGACTTCTAGGATTTTGTCCTCCCGATTCTGAAAGAACGGTAATGTAATCTTGATGTTGCATGGCTTTGAGGGGAACTTGCAGATGATTATGATCCCATGCATCTGCTGCCCTTTACCGTTCTTTCAGAATCGGGAGGACAAAATCCGAGAATTCCCTCCCGAACGGCATCGTGGGCGTACCTATATTAAATGGACTGCAGCAATTCAAGGGTTCAAGGGTTCAAGTTCTACGGTTGTGCAAGGAATGGGCATAGCTAGCAACACCCACATCCCGCAAATGAATTCAAAAACAAAATTGGAAGAACCCAACCAGAGCATTTTCGTGTAAACAGCAGTGCAATCTTTTGTAATGGAATTTAAAAGTTATCACAGTCAAATCATTGAAGCGTTAAACAAATTTATCAAATTTTGTCCTATCCATTTGGTTCTTACTTAAAAGATGAAAGACAACTACGTATTATAAACAACCTGAAAGTCAGTTCCAGTGAACTACATGTTAAAACATTAAGCATTCCAAAACCTCTGCACAGTTTAGTATATTTCCAAATGATTTGCAGACATCATCTAATCTCGAACAAACATTAAAACCAACATATCGTCTCACTTTACAATGAAATCCAGCATTTATTTAAAATGTCAATGCTACACATCATTCACAACCAGGAGAGAATTTTTTGACAGTTAGTTCCTCTTGGTGACAGATCTACATACTCAAACAGTTTTCAAATCTAACATCTTATTTTGCATCCATACATTTTATTTTTACACTTACAATTTGGAGTCAGCAAAGGATCTCACCAAACACTGGTCTTTCTTCACAGTGATTTCATCACTGCAACTTGGAGACAGCACCTGACGTGAAGAGGCAAACAATATATTTTCTTGATTGTAAAAACCAAACCTAAAACCAAAATGCTAACAAACTAGGGAAAAAAAGTTGATGATATTTTAAAATCACTTTGCATTGTTGCTAGTACAAGATGATGCTCGGATATTCATCACTCAACTGGAATTGACATCCATTACAGTCATCTTAAAACTGGCTAACAAACCCAAAACAAATGTAGACTCACATTGGGATGCTTTCTAGCTGAGGTAATGGGGGAGATTCAGGATGCTAACCGAGGGAGGAAAATTGTTTGTAGAAATAAACATTCTGTTATTAGGTACTGAACATCAGTTCTGATTAACTAAACACCTCAAGGTAGAGGAATAGTTTGTAAGAAAATTATACTGCAAACTGTCATAAATGGAATAAAAACTAATTGTGAATGTATATTATTATATATTTACAGACTGTTTTAAAAATACAATGAACAGCCCAACAAAAAGGTGGCTACCGTAATCTCATGACTGGATGCAGCAACAACCTTGCAGAAATTTCTCAGAAGCAAAGATCAGCTAGATAATAAACACTTAAGTGTCTCCTGATGGGTCTGGAATGCTAACTACTGCTATAATTTGCTACAGAGATGACCATCACCAATAAAACCCTTACAAAACAGGAATGCCAGTTCTACCCATCCTACAGAATGATGTGCTTGGCTCTTGTAGCATGGTCAGAAATCACAACACCAGATCACAGTCCAACAGGTTTATTTGACAACACAAGCTTTCGGAGCCTCAGTCCTCCTTCAGATGTTAGTGAGAAAGGTAGTATCAGACACAGAATTTATAAGTAAAAGATCAAAGGATCACCACCATTGAAGATGTACTAAACAAACCCAAGATGCTGTTAAATCTTTAAATCAGTTAGAAGGTTTTAACTGGTTAATATGTATATGTAAATCCCTGAATCCCTTTCAAGTCATGGTCCTGAGAGAACTAAAGGTTTTACCAGTGTAAAGAAGAGGTTGATGAGTTGAGCATCGTATCCTGTTCCTATGAGGGCGTCCTTCAACACCTTCAGGTGTCTGTCTCATTCCTCCTAATCCGAACAGATTCTGTGTATGCGTAGGGCTTGTCCGTAGGGGATGGCTGTTTTAATATGTTTCAGTGGAAGCTAGGAGAAGCGTAGCATCGTGAGGTTATCCATAGGCTTGCAGTTAGAGTGGTGTACTGAGGTGTCTGTCCCTAATGGAGATGTGTGTGTCCAAGAATGAGACTGATTCCAAAGAATACTCCATGCTAAGTCCAATGGTGGGACGAAACTTGTTGATATCACAATGTAGTTGTTTCAGTGATTCCTTGCCATTAGTCCAAAGGAAGAAAATGTCATTAATGTATCTTGTGTATAGTGATGGTCAGAGGTTCTGTGCAGCAAAGAAGTCTTGGTCGAACCTGTGCTTGAAAATATTGGCGAGCAAATCTGGTCCCCATGGCTGTTCCATGTGTCTGGATGAAGAACTAGTTGTCGAAGGTGAAGACGTTGTGCTTGAGGATGAAGCAGATGAGTTGTAGGATTGTGTCTGGAAATTGGCAATTGTTGGTATGGAGTACTGAGGCTGTTGCAGCGATGCCGTCACTGTGGGGGATGCTGGTGTCGAATGCCAAAACATCCATTGTGACGAGCAATGTTCCTGGTTTAAATGATAAAAAGGAAGGAAACTAACAAGAGTACATGAACAACAACTGGCTACAAAAAGACACAACCAATACTCACTCATCTCAATCCATATGGACAAGGAGAACCATCACTTTGACTGTGACAACACCAAGATCCTGGGACAGGCTAGACAGAGACAAGCATGAGAATTCCTGGAAGCATGGCACTCCACGAAGCATGCTATTAATAAACACGTTGAACTCGACGCAATATACATTCCACTATGGAGGAAACCCGGAAGTGAGGCAATCCATCGCAACGGACCCCAGAGTTTAAAAACCAGGCGGGAAAACACACTTCATCAGAGGCTGCACTGAGGATGTTACCAAGCACGGTAACGAAACGTCTGCGGAACAACCACCCAGCTCGGCAAGCCAACCAACCTCAACACCCACAACCTGAGCTACAGATCTACTCCAAAACCTTAGATACCTGTCAAGCCCTGGGCAGCGGCCTTCTGAAGGGGTCCAATTCAACTCCTCCTTTGCCCGCTCTGCCATGGATCTCTCTGTCGACTGATCTGGTTCATTGGTTGTCTCATTGGGCTCGTTGCTGACATCTTGGAAGAATTCCCGGAGTCTCATTCATCTGATGAATTCCTGTGTCTGCTGAGAGACCAATGGGGTCCATTTGGTGGTGAGGCAGAAATTGAGTCCTCGGCTGAGAACTTTTGATCTTGTCTGGTTGAAGGGTGTGGTCAGAATTGATTTTCACGGGTTGGTACTGTCTTCAACTGTGGTACTGGGGAGACTTGGTCATTGCTGGTTGTGATGTCAAGTTGCTCCAGTTTCTTGTTCTTGGTATACATGTAGGTGGCGTAGCTCCAATGACTCGTCTGTTTGGCAGCGTCTCTTAACTGTACTGCTGTATCTTGAGTCCAAGATGAGAATATCGACTCCATCTCAATTTCAAGGTTATAGCGCTTGTCGTAGAGTTGGTTTACGAGATGGTTGAGGAGTTTGAGAGAGGTGCAACAGCAAGATCTCTCAGCGTAATCATGTTGTAGGTCGACCTGAGTGGGTTTGTTATCTGTAGTCTTTTTTGGGATCTTTTGTGCTTTCTTGCATTTCTGTAGAAACTTGATGCCTACACCGATACGCGTGATCTTCTTGGAGATCCTCTCCACTTTGAGCTGGCATTTAGTGGTATCGATGTTAGCCATGATGTGGTGGTACCATCAAACTTACCATGGAGTATTCTTTGGAATCAGTCTCATTCTTGGACACATGCATCTCCATCAGAGACAGACACCTCAGTACACCACTCTACGGCAAGCCTGCGGATAACCTCATGATGCTACACTTCTCCAAGCTTCCACCCGAAACATATTAAAAAAGGCATCCCCTACTGACAACTCCAATATATACACAGAATGCATACACAGAATCTGTTCAGATGAAGAGGAACAAGATGGACACCTGAGGTGTTTGAAGGATGCCCTCATACGAATAGGATACAATGTTCAACTCATCGACTGCCACTTTCACCATGCCACAGCGAAAAACCGTAATGACGTCCTCAGAAGACAGGCACAGGATATGTCTGATAGGGTGTCCTTCATCATCCAGTACTTCCCAGGAGCGGAGAAACGATGCCATGTTCTTTGCAGCTTTCGACACATTATCAATGACGATGAGCACTTTGCCAAGATCTTCCCCATGCCTCCACTTCTCGCCTTCAAACAAATGCCAAACCTTAAACAGACCATGATTCGTAGCAAACTACCGAGCCTTCAGGACAACATCGACCACAACACTATACAGCCTTGTCATGGCAACCTCCGCAAGACATGTCACATCTTGGACATGGACACTACCATCACTTGTGGGAACGTCACCCACCACGTGCACAGCAGATACTCATGTGACTCGGTCAATGTTGTCTATCTCATACGCTGCAGGCAGGGATGCCCCGAGGCCCCAGACGCTATGACAATGCTCAACAATCGCCAAACAGGAACGTTCCTTCGGGGAGCACTTCAGCGGTCAAGGACATTCGGCCTCAGACCCTTAGGGAAACTTCCTCCAAGGCAGACTTCAGGATACACAACAACACAGAGTAGCCAAGTAGAGGCTGATAGCCAAATTCAGTACCTACGAGGACAGCCTCAACCAGGATCTTGGGTTCATGTCGCACCACAGGTGACCCCACCACAACACACACAGAAACAGAAACACACACACACGCAGTTTCTCTCCCACATGCACACACAGACACTCTCTCTGCCCCACGCCCCCACCTCTCTCTCTCTCACACACACGCGCACACACACGCGCACACACACACACACACACAGTCTCTCACCGCCCGCCTGACTATCACACGGGAATCTATAGAGTGAATTTTATTCGCAGATACATTTTATACTGTTTAAAAAGCACACAGTCAGTCAATATGGTGTTTTATAAATTCCTACTTTAGAAATACAACCAGTCTGGCTCCAAACCAAAACACAAACAGATTCTAAACAAGATCTCACACCTAACATACATTGTCTGACCTAAAATGTCACCTCTTCCTTACATAGATAAAACCTTTAGTTCTCTCAGAACTATGACTTGAAAGAAATTCAAGGATTTACATATACATATTAATCAGTTAAAACCTTCTAACTGATTAAAGATTTAGCAGCGTCTTGGGTTTGTTTAGTACATCCTCAATGGTGTGGCCCTTTGATCTTTTACTTATAAATTCTGTGACTGATACTACCCCTCTCACTAACACCTGGAGGACTGAGGCTCCCAGAGCTTGTGCTGTCAAATAAACCTGTTGGACTATACCTGGTGTCGTGTGACTTCTGACCTTGTCCACCCCAGTCCAACACCAACATCTCCACCTCTTGTGGCACAGCGGGAGTGTCTGCATTTTTGAGCCAGAAGGCACAGGCTCAAGTCCCACTTGCTCCAGAGGTGTGTCAGTACATGTCTTAACAGGTTGATTAAAGATAACCACATGATGATGTGCTAATGACATCCAGTTCAACCACCGTATAGCCATAGACCATTAGCTAGCTGCACTGCAAGCCTTTGATTTGATGGTGGCAGCTTCCCTTCCTCCAGGAGGCTTGATCACAACCAGCACAGCATTGAACCTAACTATACAATTTTCAATCGGTCAAGGGGGTCAGCGTTGCTCCATAAAACACCTTCTGGCAAAAATCAACACCCCTAGCTTTGGGCTTCGAAAGAAATCTTCCAGCCTGTAAAAAATCAGCCAGCAACTAATATTTATGGACTCTGGTTGCAAAGTCTTTTCATCAAAACACTGAACAAGCTCAAGGACTGGAGGAAGGAAGAGGATGGGTGGCCACTAGGCTGCCCAAGAGAAACAGGCAGGCTGTTTCCATGTTGGAAGCTGGTGGGGATGCTGGCTCAAGGGAATGCAGTCAAAGCCAAGCATCTGGCACAAATCACCTCACTGTACAGGACAGGAGAAAGAAGAAAGCAGGAACAATAGTGATAGGGGATTCATTAGCTAGATTCTGCGGCCAACGTGATTCCAGGAATGCTATGTTGCCGCCTTGCTGCCAGGGTCAAGATCGGCTAAAGGACTTTCTTCAGGAGGGTGAAAAGCCAGAACTTGTGGTCCGCGTTGGTGCCAAGTAGAGCCAGAAATGTGGTAATCTTCAGATCACTCCCAGTGCCACATGCAAGTGAGTACAGAAATAGCAGGATAGAGCCGATGAATGCATGGCTGGAAAGGTGGTGCAGGGAAGGGTTTAGATTCCTGAGAGTGGCTCTGAGGCAGATGGCATCTGCCCAAGCCAGGTGGGTTACATTTAAAGAGCTGGGACTGAGGTCCTTGACATGTGTTTTGCTTGTGTCATTGTTAAACTAATTTGGCAGGGATATGGGTGCCAGAGAATAGTGCAGGCAAATAGCAGGTTTTGCAAAATACTTAAGGATACAGCTGGCACCAATGTGGAGAATAGCTAAGATAACAGGTGAAGTCAGAGTAGGGAAGTAACAAAGAAAGTCCAAAACAGAGTTAACATGCATGTATGTAAATATACAGAGTATAGTAAATAAGGTTGGGGAGTTACAGACAGATTGCAATGTACAAGAATGATATTGTGGCAGTGACAGAGACCTGGCACAAGGAAGGGCAAGACTGGGTACAACTTGTTCAGGAAGAACATAAAATGAAGGAAAGGAGGAGTAGCAGCAGTGCTGGCTAAGGACAGCATTACAGTGCTAGAGAGGAGGATATCTCAGAGGGTTCAAGGATACAGTCAATTTGACTAGAGTTATAGAATAAAAAATATGCAATTACATTTCTGGTGGTCTATAGACCACTAACTAGTGAAAAGGTTGCAGAGGAAGAAATATGCAAAACTTAAGGAAAAATATCAGTATCATAGAGCAGGTATAACGGGGGACATCGTTTACTCAAATATAGACTTGGATACTGGTGGTTGGCACTTAAAAGTTAACAAGGCACCCAAACTGAATGAGATATATCAAGGATTTTGAAGGAAACAAGAGTAGAAATTGCAGAGGCACTGATCATAAAATTTCATTCTTCCCTGGTCTTTAGCGAGTTGCCAGAAGACTGGACAATTGCCAACATTATGGTTTTGTTCAAAATATGTTGCAAGGATAATCCCAGTAATTAAAGACTTGTTAGTTTCATCTTGGGCAGTGGGGAAACATTTGGACACAATTATTCAGGAAAGAAGTCAGTAGTTACACAGTAAAGGTGAACGGATTAGGAATAGCCAGTATGGATTTCTGAAGGGGAAATAATTTTTAACGAATTTGCTGTTTTGAACAGATAACAGAAAGGGTTGATGAGGGCAATGTTTTTGATGTGGCATACATGGATTTCCAGGTGTTTGATGCAGTGCCTCAACAAATTTGTGAGGAACAGGACATTTGCAACAAAGATACAAAGTTGGCTGAGTGATAAAAAAAGTGTTACAGTCAACATTTGTGTTGGGGGCTGTTGAGAGGTTTGTACTGGACTTCCCCAATGATAGGTATTGGGACCCTTGCCTTTCCTGACATATATATAAATGGTCTGGATCTTGGTATGCAAGGAACAATTTCCACGTTTTTACAGGCTAGACTAAACTTGGAAGAATTGTAAACCAAGAGGAGGGAGGTGTGGAACCCCAAAAGGACACTGGCAAGTAGAGTGATGAACATGTGGCAGATGAGGTTCAATGCAGAGAAACGTGAGGTGAGAACAGCACTGAAAGACAATTTCAAATACAAGGTTCAATTCTGAAGCGGGTGCAGGAGCAGAGGGACCTGGTGTATATGTGCACAGATCACGGAGGTGGGAGGACTGGTGGAGAAAGTAGCTAATAAAGCATACAGTGTTTTCAGCTTTAATAACAGCAGCATAGAGTACAAGAGCGAAGAGGTGATGTTGAATTTGTACAAGACACATTAGACCTTAGCTGGAGTGTTGTGTACACTTCTGGACGTACATTATAGTAAAGATGTAAAGGCATTGCAGAGAGTGCAGAAGTGAATTACTAGAATGGTTCCAGGTACGAGAACCTTCAACTATGAGGGTAACTTGTAGAAGTTGGGATTATTTTCCCTGGAAAGAAGGAAGTCAAGAGGAGATCAGATTGAGGTTTTCAAAATCATGAACGAACTGGACAGAGTAGATAGGATAAAACTGTTTCCGTTTGCAAAAGAAACAAGAATGAAGAAGCATAGATTTTCAAGCGATTCAGAAATAACTTTTTTCACATAGTAAGTTGTTAGGATATGGAATGCACTGTCTGGGAACGTGGCAGGGGCAGGTTCAATTGAGGCATTCAAGAGGGCATTGGACAGTGTTTGAATAGTAATAGTGTGCAAGGATATAGGAAAAAGGCAGGAGATTAGCACTAGATAATAAAGCCAGTGTGGACACGATGGGCCAAATAGTCTCCTTCTGCACCATCATGATTCTGTGATTCAATGAAATCACATTTCAATAAAAAGCTTCCTCAGAAAACATCTGAAAGGTTTTTTTGAAATTAAACTACCTAAAATTCCTCAACTTTTGCCTAGTAATCAACCCATCCCACAAAGAAATGCCACATTGCTAACTGTGAGTACTTTTGTGCTCCATTTAAAAGCGAGGGCAACGATAAATTGATTCCGTGGTAGTTTCGTACTTAAATTGTTACTATTTGAACACTCTCTTTTCTCCTGACTTATTCAATATCTTCCTGCAAGTTGGTAAATGCATTTGTGTTTTGACATTTCCCTCGTATCAAAGACTCAGCGAAATAACAAGACTTCTGATTTAATTTTACCACAATGCTGTTGCAGTCCTGCAAAGACAGAAGCCACAAACAGAGCAAGTGAGGAAAATGCATTGCCACTATTTTTAAAAAAGTGGAAAAATTAAATCACTGCCTGCTTGCAAGGAGGTGGTGAGAATAGAGAGAGATTAGTTCTAAAACTTGCGATCTGTTTGTAATAAAGGTGATTAAAGAACATGCACACTTTTTGCAAACATTTCTTTAAAGCTTCGTGAGGAATAGCAAATACAAAATGAATGAATCAGATAAATCTCTTCATTTCTCCATAATATAATTTACTTTCGCAGAGATAATATTTCAGGAACACTGTCAGTTCCACCAAACATCTTAAACAGGAAACATAAGCAAGCTATTTGACTCTGGAAAGTTTTCACAGCACAGCAGGAATTCTTCCTCATGAGGATCACATTTTGCAGCTGGGGTTCATCGGTTCACTGGAAGTTAGAGGAAAGTGAGATGACATTATTGAAACAAAGCAAATTCTGAGGGACTTGACAGGGTCGATGCAGATGTTGTTTCTCCTGTGGGAGAGTCTAGGACCAGAGTAGGGGTCATCCAGTTAGGACAGAGATGGGAGGAATTCTCTACTGCAGAGAGCAGTAAAAGCTGCACTGTTAAGTATACTCAAGGCTGAGATGGACCAGTTTTAAATCAGTAAGGAAATCAAAGGTTATGAGGAAAAGGCAAGAAAGTGGAGTTGAGGATTATCAGATCAGCCATGATCCCATTGACTGGTAGAGCTGAAAGGCCTACTTCTGCTCCTATGTCTTAGGACTGTAGTTAAGATCTCAAATATGAGCTGATGTTTTCCTTCACAAGCCTAGGGTAATTGCTAGCAGCCCAAATTCCACAAAACTCAAAAAACTAAAACAAAGCCTGAATTATCTAATTTGTTACATCAAATAGCAGCATATCACCTGTTACCTAGCAGGAAGACAGCTCAAACTTCATCCTAGGAGATTGTGCATATGTTTAATATTGCAATGTTCTCTTCGTAAAACAATAGTTGTGACATTCAGTTTTTCAGCAATAAATTGAAAACCATTCTATTATTCAAGTTGATTTCTAAATCAGTCAACAAAATGCATTGTTATATTGCTTCTAAACATGTTGTCAAGGCTGAGAGTAAAACAAATGTCTAAAATTATGCAATAATGATCCAGTTTGAAAACTTCAATCAAGGCTTTCTGAAAGGTAGATCCTGTAAAGACGGTATTATCTCACTTACCAAAGCTGGATACCAGCCTTTTCTCTTGTCTGCATTACAATCTACATAAACTACTTTGCCCAAAAGTTCATCATTAAGACGTCGTTTGTCATCATCCTCATCTTCACTTGGTTCCTCTTCTCTCTCATCTTCAGGTCTGCAACATGAAACATTAAAAAAAATTGTATCAAGTTCTTAATGGTAATCATTTATTAGGGTTTTAACAGATTTAACAGTTTTGTGCATGTACGCATAGGTTTAGGAAGGACAAAATGCATAATATTATATTGCACAGAATCATGGAATTTTAAGGAAAGAGGCCATTCAACCGAAATTGTCTGAACCAGCTCCCAAAGAGCTACGTAGCTAGCCCCGTGCACCAGCCCTATCTCCAAAGCCCTCAAAGTTCATCACTTTCAAACATATATCGAGCTCTCTTTTGAAACCTCCTACGGAATCTGACTCCACCACTCTCCCAAGCAGTGCTTTCCAAATCCTAACAAATCCCTGATTTCTGAATGTTTGGACCAAGCAATGATTTCACAGAATCCCTACCGCTCAGAAAGAGGCCATTCAGCCCATCAAGTCTGGACGGACTCTCTGAAGAGCATTCCACCCAGACCTAGCCTCCCCAGCCTATCCCCGTAATCATACATTTAAAATAGCTAACCCATTTAGCCTGCACATCCCTGGACACTACAGAGCAATTTAGCATGCCCAATCCACCTCACCTGCACATCTTTGGACAGTAGGAGGAAATCGGAGCACCTGGCAGAATCCCACGCAGACATGGAGAGAACATGCAAACATACAGACAGTAACCCAAGGCTGGAATAGAGCCCGGGTTCCTGGAGCTGTGCAGCAGCAACACTAACTCCTGAGCCATTGTGCACCTGTGCCAATTCTCTAAAGTTTGGAACTTTAAGAATTCCAAAATATATATTTACCAGTGAAGTTAGGCTTGTGGTCGACAGTGGTAGCTAACCCGGTGGTCAATTTCTCCAGGAGAAATTTGACTGCTCCATTTCAAGAATTTGATTATAGAATTTGTTCAAATTCAAAAGAAAAAGGGAAAAGGAAAAAACCTGTACATTGATAGAGCCTTTCACAAGTTCAAGATACATGAAATTTTTCTGAGGCAATGAACAACGTTTGAGAAAAGGCATTTTGTCAAAGTTTTTCTTCTTGTGCTTATCAGGAAAATTTCCAAAGAAATATCATACAAGACTAAAAACAACTTATACTCTATGAAAGGAGCATACAGATAGGTTGGCAAAGAAAACTGATTGGTAGTGGTATTGTCATGGAGAATCCAAATAAAAAGACAGTGGCTGACAGTTAACTGCCAAACTTTGTTTAAAATTTAAACTAGGTAGGATGACTCTGATTGGTCAAGGCATTACCCTGAAAAAATGAGCCAGTTGAATGGCTTTACCTTTCTGTGTTGAATTGAAACAGGCACAATATTTGCGCAGATTGTCTGTAAAAACCAGGATGCTGTGTATTAATTTGCAGATTTTCCACTGCATGCAAACAAGTCACGTTATGAGCCTGAATGACAATCCTAAATTTTTGTCAGTGTAATGAGGATGATTATTTATGCAAATGCTATCTAACTGCAGAATCACATCAAAATGTTGGAATTGTGTTTTGGGATTTGCAAAAATGTGCTAGTTGAATATGGCAAATACACTGTCCATTATGAATCGTAGAAAGGATATGGTCTTCATTATGATCCACTAGTCTTTGGGAACTACAGTTTACATATCGAGCGTCACAGCAGCACTGAAATTCAGACAGCATATTTCTCAATTGTGTACCAGGTAGAGACAGACAGTCTTTACTGTGGTGACACCACTCATGTTTCCTATTGCACAGAAAGAGCATGAAACAGTTAACTTCCACCTGCTGTTCGAAGTTCCAAGGTACCTTAAGTTTCAGAGTAATGAGGTTAACTGGGCTCTTTTCAGCAAAGGACTTGGGCCTGTTCATGATTTAGAGCAAAAAACAGCAAAAAATGATCTGATCAGGGTTAACCATTAACGTACAGGATGCCTTTAATCACCCGATTTCAGCATCAAGCTTGGTCAGTAAATAAATGGCTAGGACCCTATTTCCAAGGTTGTTTTACAAGGCCAAAGCTACAAAGAATGGAACTGTAGACATTCCAACACATATGGCTGATATCTCTAAGAGATCTAGGACAGGGAGCTCATTTGACTGTTCCATTTCAAAGGTGAATTTGAGCACATGATGGACTGCATTAAATCATGGAAGAAAATTATTACATGCAGCTGTGGATTCAAACAAAACACCCCTGTCATCTGCATATCAGATATGTGCAACAGGTAGAAGTTAGGTGTCATACAAGTGAAGACATGTTTCTCATGGAACCCAAAAGATGTTTGCAAAAGCTGAGCCTAGCAGGAATCCGACAGCAATATGATCTATTGATCTGCATGGTGACATTAAAACTGAAATCAGCTGTGTGGGTTAATAATTCCATAACGATACATACATAGGACATCCCTTTGTCCGTCTGAAACAAGCAAAGTAACAATCATACCCAACCAGCCCATGCTTGCATAACTCAAAACACCATGTCCAACATTAGATGTCATTCCACAAACAGAAAAAGTTGGGCAAATAATCCTGAGTGCGCAAAGAATTACATTGACAACAAATTGTGGGCTCAAAGTATGGTGCGTTTGTGCAAACTGAAGACTGCATATATTAATACATAGAGCTGTACTCTTTCAGGCAGAAAGAATATGCATAACCACTGCATCTGTTTCAACTCAATAAAATAGGTGACAGTCATTCTATGGTTAATTTTTCAGGGTAATGCATTGACTAGTCGAGTCAGCATACCTGGCTTAAAATTTAAAACATCATTTGGCTGTTAACTGTCGATCATCTCACATTTGCATTCTCCAGAGCAATGCCTCTACTAAAGTCCACTTGCCAATCAGCACTCTCCTCTCAGTGTAAATGTTGTTTTCCCTCTAGATTGATATTATTGTGAAGTGCCCTGATAAGTGCTAGCAATACTCAAGTTCTGCAGGACAAAATTACTATTTGTAGTTAATATGTAAAATGAGTAAATGTGGTCGTCAACCTGAACACAAGTGTTCAGCCTGGTTGCCTTCATTGCTCAGACTATTGAGGTTGTACTGGACATTGGTGAGGCCTCTTCTAGAGTACTGTGTATAGTTTGGGTTTCCCTGTTATAAGAAGGATATTATTAAGCTGAAGAGACTTACCAGGATGGTGCCAGGAATGGAGGGTTTGGGTTATAAGGAGAGACTGGATAGACTGAGACTTTTTTCACTGGAGCGTAGGAGGTTGAGGGGTAACCTTATAGAGGTTTATAAAATTATGAGGGGTATAGATAAAGTGAATAGCAGGTATATTTTCCCGCAGGTGGAGTATTTCAAGACTAGGGGGCATATTTTTAAGGTGAGGGGAGAAAGATTTTAAAAAGACATGAGGGGCAATTTGTTTACACAAGACAGTGGTTTGTGTGGAATGAACTTCCAGCGGAGTGGTCGATGCGGGTACAGTTACAATGTTCAAAAGACATTTAGATAAGTACATGAATAAGAAATGTTTGAAGCAATATGGGCCAAGCGCAGGCAAGTGAGACTAGTTTCGTTTGGGATTATGGTTGGCATTGGCTGATTGGACCGAAGGGTCTGTTTCAATGCTAAATGACTAACCGAGATGGAAGACTGCAATTCAACTGATTAATTTCTTCTGGGTTGTGTTGAAAGAAGAATAATTGTTGATTGGTCAACAGGAGAACTTACCTTTTTTCTTCAATTTGCTTTCCTGGATCTTTCATACCCACTAGAAGGATACATATATCTCCGAACTATTTCTGGGGTGAAAATCAACTGTCCCTTGGCCATCCCAAAACCAAATTAACTCATCTAGAGTTCTCTTGAGTCGGTTTTACAAAGCTGGGAATCGTCATGCCTCCTCCCTCCTGTCTTAGCATGGTCAGATTTTTCACTTCTATCAACCTTAGTTAGCTTATATCTTGACATTTGTGCTATGCAAAATTAACATTTCTTTGTTTCGATTATAGTAATGGGATATACTTATCTGTAAATCATGGCAGTTGGCCTGCAGATTTATTTAAAATTGAAATGTGCACATCAAGGGTACATTTTTCCATATTTAAAATTATTTGTTCCAAGCAGATTGACTCTGGTTTACAATTATTGCTTGATATTGTTCATCTGTATCAGAGTCCATCAGTAATAAGCATGATGGATATATTTTTGTTCTAAATACCTTTAAGGGAGACCTTCTCTACTGGATAAAAATTCATTCGATATTTTGTTAGCATAAAAACAAAATCCAACTCTCAAAATAAAACATGAACTGGAGTCAGAAAGATAGTTGGGAAGAAACCATCTCATCAACTTTGGCGTTGTCTGGGAAGCAACTGGTCACATGAAAGAAAAATCACAAGAACAACCCAATGGACAGTATTGTTATTTCAACTTCTAACTGTTTTGGGTTACAAGTCCAGAATAATTTCACTTATGCTCATCAAGTAGTAACAGTTGCCTGACAACATTCTGGAATGAGGTTTGAACATACAATGCAGTGTTGGTTCAACGAATGAAACCCCAGTACCAGCTGGAAGATTTCTTGTTTCAAACCCGAGGACTATCAGTCTCATATCAGGGCTGATTAAGAAGGTAGGTGATTAAAAAAATACTTCTAGGTTTACGATTCTAAATACAGAAGAATTTGTGTTATCTAGGAACACATCAGGTGCTCGTTAATCAAAAATGCCGGTTAATGGAAGGAATACAGACTTTCCTGACAGTGGGCATGTCCATTCAATTACTGGACCTCTGTCACTGGTTAATGGGCTTGAGGAGCCACATGTCGTTTTTGATATAAAAAGGAAATTATAGAATCAGTATTGCAACAGCAAGTGATCATATATAAAGAGCATTATTTGCTTCTGGTATACTGTTATTAAACCTCACAGTGTCAAAGCTTGTTTTACTTAGGTGCTAGTCATTATCTTTAAGGCTTCGGTTGGCTAAGTATGCAAGTTCAATGGGAAATATTGGTGATTTCAGTTGGTGCAGCATTCTGGTTACTGCAGAGACAGATAATGTGAATTTTACAGCCTTTATGACATGCAAAGCAGTTTCCCAAGTTCCCCTATGAGACCAGGACAACAAAACCCTTTTTGTTTAGTCCATTATCTCAACATTTGGTGACAAGTAATCTGAGCAAAGAAAGCCATCAATGGTGTTGTGTAACTAAATGCCAAACGGAGTACACATTCACTCTCTCCAACATTCCTCCCCAAATGAAAACCCTTTAAAATTAGGAAAATAAAAATTGCAAGAACTTTAGTAAAGAACTTTCTAAAGATAAACATAATGAGTTAACAGATTAAAATCTGCAAGAACTACAGAACTGTCTTTCAAAATCATACTTTATTTCTCACCACTGATGTCAGTTACAATCAGGCTTTTAATCATGCTTTTATGAACGCTACACCTGGTATAACTCCTATTAATTTTTCATTGTTAATTACATTACATAACAAGAATTATTTCAGAGACAGTTCTTACTATCTCTGAGTTAGTTATGCTGGAACTCCCTTCGGAACATCACCTTCTCAAGGCCAAGTTGAAATGGACAATAAATGCTGACCTAGCCAGTGACAACCACATCCTTATGACTAGATTAAAAAAAAGCAAAATGGTACTTACGTAGGAGCAGATGACAATCTCCTTCCTCGGTTTGTTTTCTTCCCAATGACTGGTGTGCCAAAGTGCTCTGGGTTTGTTAGTGGCAACTGATCAAGGGTCTGAAAGCAAGCATTGAAGTTACTGTTCTGTATTATGAATATAAGCTCACTATAATATCTAGACAAGAACAATTACTCACCTCACTCTCTGCAAAGTGTCTCTCCCCCTTCAGACATAAAGATGTACGCCTAAGGGTCCTCTCATCCCCATCATCAAACACTGGACAAAGAAAAACTCCCAAATTAGAATCAGAAATAAAGCAGCAAGTTTATTACCTGAACAACAGCACAAACTGCTAACCAGTTCAGATTTACAGTAATTCCAGCTATGAGTTGGTCAAAAACAAGGCACAGAATTCAGAGAAAATACCACAGCTGTTATTTCTGACAGCAATAGAGTTCATCCTACCTCAATATGTAAACTTTGTTGCTTTTTGTTGCATGATTGACAGAACTAAAGAAGGCCATTGGCATCTATGGCTTGATTACAGTGCATATAGACTTGCCAACTCACAAAGAATCCAGCTTGGTTCAAACCAAAATGAGTCAAAGAACAACTATTACATTTGCAGCAGGTATCAGAGAGAAGGACCTACTTAAATACATGGAGCCAGTGACCTTGATGTAAATTTTGACTTTGTTAGCAGCTTTGTTCTGAAATACTATGTATTTCCTTTGTTCTGGACAAATTTTGATGGTTTATCTTTTAAGTTGGTTTTGCTAGTTTTGGAGGAATTGCTTAGCCTATGATAGGTTCAAATACTAACTAGTTTATTACACATTAAAGATCCATGCACTGCTTCTGCTAAAACTCATGATCAAATTCTATTCAACTCTCTCTGTCACAGTCTCTTATATCATCATTATGGAGGTACCATTCATACCGTCCCAGACATAATTTCAAACACTAATACTATAGATGTCAATTTATCTCGTTGTAATTGAGCAATCCATCTAAAATCTTTCAGTTGAAATTGATAAACTACTCAGTGTCCACAGCAGATTAGCAACAAACTATCATGTAACATTTAGACATTTCAAAATTTAGCAAAGCACAACAGTTGTTATTTTGCCACTTACAAAAGACAGAATAGCTAGACCTGCAACCATTCTGAATGTAGACTTCATTATTCATTTCTTAGTTAATCAATTTATTTGGCAATTTATAGCCCAAGTCACGTACTAATCAATCATTCTACTACTTTTCAAACTTGAGGAAGATGATAAAGTTTTCCAATTAACCCTAACTTTCTGTGCATAAATAATACCTGCAAGAGCTTTATCTGCAGGAGTCCTTAGAACAGGTGAAAAGTATTTGAAGTAAAATACATGTAATTTAAAGACTGCCAATAAGTAGCTTATCTGCAAAGAAAACTAATCTTATGTCTTATCTATGATTAAAAAAAAATTAATAAGCTACCAGGAAATGGCCAGGCTTTCATAGCAAAGAGGCCTGGCTGGTGTAGCCTCTGTCCTTCAAGCACTAGTGTGTGCCAGGTTGCCTTACAGAAAAGAACAAAACTGAGGTTTCTTCAATCATAAACTTTAAATTCATACTTGAAATTCCAATTTTCAAAATTTAAGAAAGAGAAATTACAATAAACGCAATTTGAAAGAAATGAGAAAAGAATACATTGATATAGTCTGACCGAAACATAAGGCTACTCTCTCATTATAGAGTTGACCTCATCGGGGCAAGGTTGAGAAGGTAACCTCAGCCGGTGAGAGAATTGAACCCAGGCTATTGATGTCACTCTGCATTGGAAACCAGACACCCAGCCAACTAAGCTAATCTAATGCACAGCAGGCTAATCAGCATCTACAATAACATAAGAAAAATTGACACTTTCTTCTTGTGTATTACAAAGCTATGAGAGTTGTGGTTATGTTAATAACTATACACAAAACAGCATGACCTATCTTTTCTCTTTACAGATGCCAAGTGAAATGCTATGTATTTCCAGAATTTTCTGTTTTCTTTGAAATATCATTATTTATGGTCCTAATCTTTGGGCAGATTGCATGAGAAAATCTCACAGCTGATAGCCATGAAACCGCTTATCAAATTTTCCAGCAGAGAAGCTGGTTATTCAGTCCTCCATACTTGTGTCAATTCTCTAAGGCAACTACTCACTTCTTCCTATTTCACTACATTCTAGCTGTAAATGTCTAAATTGTATAGGGGGTCCTCAATCACAAACTTCCAACTTATGAACACTCGTACCAGCAAACATGATTGCAAAGAGGGAAATGTTATGGACCAGACCAAACCCCTTCAAGTTATTCAGAAGATTTTTTTATACACTACCTTGTTTTTAATTTAAAGGTTAAAGTATAGTGTGGAGTTTCAGATACAATTGGATTGGTCAAACTATTGGACTTAAAGTAAAATACTCTTTATTTATCAACTATAGTTAAAATACAACAAAAGAAAGAAGAAATAGAATAACTTAACTCTATTGGAAAATTTAACAGAATAATGGATCAGTAACTATTGGTAATTAACAGTTACAATACATTAACATTCCATAAATGTGGGATTGTCTCACATGCAACTCCATAGCACGCAGAGAGCCCCCAGCTTTTGGCTGCAACCGTGAGGGTAAGAATAGCTTTCACTTCTTCAAGGCCCCAACAGCAACTGCTGAAAGCTAAACTAAAAGCCCTGGTTCTGTGGGAGCTCGATCACACCTATTCAGGCTGCTTCTATTGTTACAGCTTTAAAAAAAAACCCCAAAGACTAACAAGGTGTTTACTTTCTACACACTGCTAGATGCCTCTTGTTCAATCTCTCTCAAAAGAAACGATAACAAGATAACTTAAAGACACCAACTATAAACATTTCCTCTATTTATGAATGTCTGCTTTGCGTTATCCTACATTGTGTTACAACTTGAGTGCAAATTGATTTGTGAACAGACTCCAGAACGGAACCCGTTTGTAACTTGGGGGACTGCCTATATTGTATTCACATGTCTTGAGGTGAAGAGAAGTTATATAAAGTATTAATGTATAACATCACTGGCTGAGCTTATCTAAATGTTTTGAAAATAACTATTCAAAGCACAGGATACTGGCTGCAGCAGCAAAAATGTTGCACTTGCCAAGAATATAAGCTGCCAGGCGGACACACTTCAAAGCCTCGAGAAGTCACATGATCCAGTTTGCAAGTGAAAGTATATTGGTTTAGAACAAAGATGGTCTTAGACAACTTGCCATGAGGAAAGAATCATTAATCTCCCACCACTTTTCTCTGAAATCCTGCTCAGCAAAGGGTGAGTGTTAAAAATCCACCAGAAGACCTCATTGCCACAAGTGGAGGATTTTTAAAGTAAAAGTCTAATAACTACATCTGGCCCCAGGAAAAGATATTTAACCAATCATAACTGACCCAAGGAAAAACCAACAGCTTATGCATAAAGTGACTTTGGCTATAAAGCAGCATTTCGAACAACTCTGAATTGAACTCTTATTGGCCCAAAGGACTTTTAGAATTTTTTTTTCCCAAGCTTTGAGTATCTAAGTGTGTGTGTATGGGAGTCATTTTTCAAGAAGCGTGGATGGATATATTTGCACATTTTAAACCTTTCATTAATGAGGTTTGCATCTTTGTTTGGGTAATATAATAAACAAATTATTTATTGGTTACCCAACGGAATTTGACTGATTTGTTTCTGATACCGAGATATATACAATTTATTGTATAAATTTGGTAATATCACCTTCCTTTTAAATGCAAATGTACTTGAAGGCAGTGGAATGGTAGGACAAGGGAGGGAATCAATCCACTCCCCCAATGGAATTGTAACAATATGCTTATTCTTTTAGAAGTTGATTGAATACTGTTCCCACCACTCTTTCTGACAAACCATTTTAACACCTCTTGGCACTAGAACTTCTCACTTCATTGTTTCAATGATCATTTTAAATACATCCCCATATAATTATCAATTTACTTACCAACGGAAACAGTTCAAACAATTTAGCTTGTCAGAACTTCACTTAACTATTCACGTTCTGTGCACTTCCTTGACACTACTAACTAACTTCCAGAAGGTTCTTCTGACAAAGTGGTAGTGTCCCTATCACTGAGCTAGGAGGCTCGGGTTCACGTCCCATTTGATCACGAGGTGTGTAATAACATCTTTAAATACAGCTGATTTCAAAAGATCTACAGCAATAGCTGAAGGAAAATAAACTGACTAACATCCTGATGTTGTCTCTAAGAATGAATTCAGAGTGTTGAATCCTGATTCAAGTGCCATGTTATAGTGAATATGCATTGATAAAGATGATGTCTCTTTTATTGTTCTTCATTTCCTTTCTGCAGCCTTTAACATAGGAGCTCACAGCATCTTCTTTCCATCACTCAGTGGATTCCAGCTAGGTGGGTCTGTACTTGCCTGGCTCCATTCATATCCACTTATTCATAGCCAGAGTGTCACTACATTTACACCATCACCAATATCCTTGATCCTCTCTCATTTCTCAACTTTTTCCTATATCTCCTATTTAACTTTATTTCTTTATTGTTCTACCTTCTATCTAAGATTTTCTATCAAGGCACTTTGTACCTAAGATGGTGCCAGGAATGGCAACTTTTGTACACTTTACTGGAGTACACTTGACAGTAAAATCTAATTCTAATTACAGTCTACTTTTTGGCAACATCACCCAAAAACAATGTAAATTTTGACAGGAAGACTGAACATCAAACTGTGCTCCACCTCCTCTCTCAGTTCCTTCAGTGTCACTAAATTATTTGTCTGCTAGTCTGATACCCAGTACTGAATAAACAGGAATTTCCTCCATTTAGACAGTGGGAAATCTGAAGTCATCATCTTTGATCCCTGGAACAAACTCTGTTCCCTAGCTACTGATTCCTCCCGTTCTCTGGCATCTGTCTTCAGCCAAACCAGACTGTTCATAACTCTGGTACTAAAATTGACCATAAAATGTGCTTCGGACCATGTATCAACATCATTGCTGAGATTGCATACTTCAATTTTCGTAACATTGCCAGAGACTACCCCTGCCTTTGCTTATCAGCTACTGAAAACCACATCACTCCTGGGCAGCCTCACAAATCATACTTTCTATTAACTGGAGGTCATCCAAAACTCTGCTGTTTATGTACTTACATAAACCAAGAACCATTCAACCTTCACCACTTTGCTCACTGGTCTACACTGGCTCCCAGTTAAGCAACACCTTAATATT